GATTTTCAGACTCACACGAAAAAAGGAACAAAGAAGCCATTAACAATTATAATACACAAAGCATGAAAATTCGAATAATTTTGTAGATGTTAGTCTGATAAAGATCAACCCGCTTAAAAAAAAAGAAACGTTCTGAATTATTATTTTTATGAACTTGGCAGAGATAGCCGGTCATGGTAACGAGGTGTCCTAGTTGGATTTTTTAGGTTCAGTAAAGTTTAAATTTTCATTTTTTAGTACTAGAAAATGCTCATGTGCGATGTAGAGCGTTTACTATGGAGGTTTATAGATTTTTGGTGAAACAAGAAGGAGACTTTATGAAAGTGGATATTTGTTAATAGATCTTACGAGTACACAAAATTAACTAATATCGAGTTAAAAGCAATAAGTCCCAAATATGACGGAGTTAATGTATTTTGACTATTATATTCACGATAAAACTGAAAAATTACTGCATAAAAAACTATTATTAGACATTATTATTAAATAAATTAGCCTTATATGAAACACATTAAAAATGAAATGTTAAGTTTTTAATGCGCAGTCAATTTAATTCGATTTGCAAAACTTTGAATACGGGAGCTCCTCGTAGCTCGCCTCTACATCTGTAAAGTGTTTACAGCGGTGGTCATGGTTACTGTCGCACGTTACCGTGAAGTGAGTGGGAGTAGCGTATATTTCCTACGCAGCTTGGGCTTTGTTTATTCCACCAGTAACCACATAATAGCTATTCACCACTTCCTTTCTTAATAAACATAATTAATGTACTTAAATTTTTTCCTGGTCGGAAGTCAAGAACCGCCAATGGAGATGGTTTATGTATAAATATAAAAAATACACATGTATAAAAATATCGTAGCACGTAAAGTCATTAAAGAAAGGAATGGTGTTCAAAGCATCATTAAAATCGTTTACATGGCTTTTCATCGAATTAAATCAATACTATCTAATTAGTTGAGTAACGGACATACATAATTAAAGCGAAAACAGTTTTTTTCTATACCTCCGATTTGCACTCATGAAGGAAATATGACTACCTATAACTAAAGTATATCGTGGGCCAATTTTGACACCTTTGGAGGGTTGTATTTCTCGAGGAGAGGGACAAAAAGTGTTGCTTAGCTGATGTTTGACAAAAATTGAAAACGGAATCTTGATATCTCTATTTGTTTAAGAAATACAATTTCGCATATTTGACCGTTTTGTGTGATATGGAATAGCTTTATTTGTGAATTTTTAAAGTCTTTTATTATTTTTTTGCTTAGAATCCAGTGTTGAATAGAAACTATAATATACAGGGTGTAACTAAATAAGTGTAAAACATTTAAGGGGGTGATTCCTCATCGAAAAAAAGATAGGATCTTTCATATAAAGAAACTTCATTGGAGCATCCCTTGTTAAGATACAGCCCCTTAAAGGGGGTACATAAAATTTGTTTAACAATTTTTTTCACAAGCACTAAACAAGTTACAATATTGAAATTAACCTGACATTTTCTACTACCAAAAAGACACTTAGCCAGTAATTTATTTGGTTTACCCCATGGTTGTAAGGGGTGGAAAACGCAACCCCTAAAATTTATTTCCAACGTAATTTTTTGTCTTATTATTTTTTTACCATTTAAAAATTTATTTCCGATAGCCTGTTTCATTCTAAAAAAAAATGTCTCTTGAATTTTTTGCCCAAATTAAACCAGTTCGCAGCAAAAAATTATTTTACGAACAAGATACATATCGCCATAAAACGAAAATACGAAACTAATTTATCTAGTAGGCCGCCATTAGCGATACTGACAATTAAATTGGAATCAAGCTGTCAGTTTGTAAATTTTTGAAATTGAAGTAATACTAATTGTGTATTGTTCTGTTCTTAATTTGTTACTTTAATAATTCACTTGTTATTAAAATGGCATACACAAATGAGGAAATGGCTGATATGCATTACGTTTACGGTCTGTCGCAGGGGAATGGGTTAGAAGCTTCTACAAGATATGCTGAAATGTATCCTCAACGGCAGCATCCTTCACATAGAATATTTGTCTGACTTCATCAACGATTACGTGAATATGGTTCATTCAACAAAAGAACGCAGGATTGTGGTCGCCATCGAGAAGTAAGAACACCACAGCTTGAGGCAGCAGTACTTAATTTGATAGAAGAACAACCTACTACCAGTACTAGAAAGATTGCTTTCCAGCTAAATGTTGATCATATGACGGTATTTCGAATTTTAAAGGAACATCTCTTATACCCTTACCATCTGCAACGAGTACAGGCACTGTTACCGCGAGACTTTCCGAACCGTCTTGAATTTTGCAATTGGATGCTGGAAATGATTAGAAGAAATCGTGACTTTCTGAAGACGATCGAATTCACAGACGAATGTAGTTTTTCTCGGGACAAGATTATTAATTTTCATAATTACCACATATGGGCTGATGAAAACCATCACGCTATTGTCGAAACTAACCATCAAGAACAGTTTTCTCTTAAGGTGTGGGTCGGAGTTATTGGGGATTATTTAATTGGGCCTCATTTTCTACCTCCTCGATTAAATGGTGAGGCATACGTTCAATTTTTAAGAAAAGTGCATCCCCCCGTACTGCTGGAGGAAGTTCCTTTGGGCGTCAGAAGGGATATGGTTTTTATGCATGATGGGGCTCCCGCCCATTTTAGTCAAGTAGCACGTCAGCATTTAACTGAAACATATGCAAATCAGTGGATAGGTCGAGGAGGACCACAGAATTGGCCCGCTCGATCCCCGGATCTCAATCCTCTGGATTTGTCTACTTGGGGCCATTTGCAGCATTTGGTTTATCGTACTCCTGTTCGCGATGTAGAGGACTTAAGAAACCGCATTATCGATGCGTGCAGGGTAATTAGAGAGACTCCAGGAATATTTGAGCGAATACGTGGCTCAATGCGCCGACGTCTAGACGCATGCGTAATGTCTGAAGGTAGACATATTGAACATTTACTATGATTTCTACATGTTGTATGTTTTGTTATTATTAAATTAGTTTTGATTATTCCCCTTTAATCATTTAATGCAGGTAGTAACTACAAAATAACAGTAAATCCAGTCCGCATTTATGACGATGTATCTCTGTAGTTGTTCGTAAAATAATTTTTTACTGCGAACTGGTTTAATTTGGGCAAAAAATTCAAGAGACATTTTTTTTTAGAATGAAACAGGCTATCGGAAATAATTTTTTAAATGGTAAAAAAATAATAAGACAAAAAATTACGTTGGAAATAAATTTTAGGGGTTGCGTTTTCCACCCCTTACTACCATGGGGTAAACCAAATAAATTACTGGCTAAGTGTCTTTTTGGTAGTAGAAAATGTCAGGTTAATTTCAATATTGTAACTTGTTTAGTGCTTGTGAAAAAAATTGTTAAACAAATTTTATGTACCCCCTTTAAGGGGCTGTATCTTAACAAGGGATGCTCCAATGAAGTTTCTTTATATGAAAGATCCTATCTTTTTTTCGATGAGGAATCACCCCCTTAAATGTTTTACACTTATTTAGTTACACCCTGTATAATAGAATAATAGAAAAACAGAATAATAGAAGAATAGAATATAAATAGAAATAGACAGAAATAGAAGAAGCGTATGGATAGAAGAATAGAATCGACAGAAATTGAAATAGAAATAAAGATATAAATAGAAATAGAAATAATAGAAGAATAGAATAATAGAATAGAATAGAATAGAATGGAGTAGAATATAATTGAATAATTGAATAATAATACAATACTATAGTATAGTATAGAAACTTTAACCATTTTTTGTTTATTTCCTAGGGTAATACGAGAACCCCAGAAGTGTCGAAATTGGCCTTCCCTGTACAGGTTTTTTTAAATAAAAGTCCAAAAGTGACTGAAAATTTTCAAAAGTAAAAATTAGCAATAAAAATTTGGTGATTTTTTTGTATTTGATATACTCGAAACAAGTTACTAAAAAAGCAATTAATTGAATTCTTAAATAATGTATACAGGGTGTGATATATGTACTCTGTTTTAACTTAAATGCGCATTATACATTACACATCAGTATTGAAAAAGTTCGAGATACAGGGAGCTGAAATTTTAAAACATAGCATATTTATCTCTGAAGATACTTGAAGATTTATTAAACTAATTATTGACCAAAATTTGCTGAGTTGGTATACAAATCTGCCAACCACCGGTGGAGATACTGAGAAAGACCGGCATTAGGAACAATAGAATTTCGACATCTCTCAATATTTTGAAAATTGGTTAAATACATTTAATTTTGGTTGATACTTTTATAAATGAAATTCCAATACTATTTGTGTCACAAAAAAAAATGAGAGAAATTTGTTGTTGGAAGTGCAATTTTAAATACAATGTAATTATGAAAAGTCTAAAAGAATATTTTTTTTATTTTTCTGAAGCATAGTAACATACTAAAAAAAAATTGCCACTGCTGCATTATATTTAAAATCGTTTTTGTAACAAGAAATCGTTATAATTTTTTCTGAGATGAATAGTTTAGGTTAATAACACCTAAACAAAAAGCAAATAAAAACATGCTGTTGTTAGAAGTCATTTTGAGAGAAAAATGTTCCGGACACGCTTTACAAAAAAGATACAGGGCATTCAAAACAGATGTTAATATTTCATGAACGACAAAAAAATTATATTAAATTTATATCAAGTTCGTGTGCGTTAGAAAAACATAGAATGTAAAAAACACTGAAATTTCGTTCCATCCATCAGTTGATAACATTATCTACGGCCAAGGTTTTCATATTACTTTAAATAGTCGATTTGATTCTGCATATCAAAGTTGCTACATTCAGGGTAACACCCTGTACAACAAACGCACTTCGATTACAATATACTGAACCGGGACCACCCTGTACGTATACAGGACCTAGACCTTGCCATCGGACTGATGCCAAGGAAGAAGAGGTGGAGGAATATAAAGGTAGATGCGAGATGTTGCAGCCGAAGAGTTCTTACGTCGCTACCGCGAATGTCATAGTGGTGCCTTAGTGTTTTTTTTTTCTTTGACGAGATCAGACGGGTAAGTTCAAGGCTCTCATTAGGCGGGAAATTAATAAATCGACGTTTATTAGTTTTAACCGTTATATAATTTGTCTCCATGTAAATAATGATATGGTACTGCACAGTTCATTAGAGCTCTTACGAGGTATGAAAAAATGTACAAGGTGTTTTCATGATATGGTAGTATATAGGCAGCTTTTATATACTGTTATTCTTTCCACAATGTTATAAGAGAATATTTAAAAAAAATCATATATAGTGTCTCATAAATGAATGAATGAATTTTTAGCGAAACTTATTTTGACTTAACTTTTGAACCTTTTGAAATTTGTGGGAATTCATTTATTTTTCGTATAGACCCCATTGAATAGACTTTTGAATCTGAAATTTCAAAATTCCAGTATTGTGAAAATTCCTATCCTTTTTGTGGCCTTTATTTTATTTACTATTTCGTACAGCATATTGGAGGCTAGTTAATCCACGAAATCAGTGAGAAAAACTATTCATTTAATTTCTTTATCACAATTCCCTCATTTTTCTTAAAAGTATGAAAAATAATTGTTAGTTTATTTTGTAATTATCAATAATTGTAAATCATATTACTGCAAAATAATGTTACAGACCACATCTAATTAATTATTGAACCTAATGCAGAAATAAAACACTAATTATTTAACCTAATAACTACAGAAGCTAAAAACTTTCGAAAATATACAAAAGGAACTTCTATGGTAATTGAATGTGAAAAATGGAAAAAGATTTTCCGACGAGGATCTAGAATGTTTTAATTTAGTATATTAAATTACAGTAAGAAGTCGTAATATGATAATATTGAACTGAAGTTTCCATTGCTAAATTAAATTTAAAAAAATCAAACGTATGGTTTTCGTTGTTAAGATCAATATGCAATAGCGAAGAGTAGAAAAATAAGGGGTAAACTTTTCGAAGTGACCAATAAATAAAAATGTTCTGTCCCAGTACATTCCCAGATTTTTTATTTATTTATTTATTTATTTATTTATTTATTTATTTATTTAAAATTACAACTGTTCACGGGAAAATCCCAGTTACAGGGAAAAACAAAAAAATATAGTAAGTTATTAAAAAATGCTGTAGAAAAAACAAAAACACTTGAAAATACAACAATATACATGCTGTTACAAATTCGCTTCTAAAAAATCAAGGCTAACATGATTAGTTTTCGAAATTTTGGAAGTCCGTTTTTGTTTCATTTCAGCCTTGTTTGAGGTAATATTGAAAAAAGGAGAACACTTTCTCATGGCCACCTTCTGCACTCTATCGAAAGGCATAATCAATTTTTATATGTAACGTTTCGTCTCTCCATGATCATCATCAACTTCGTTTTTTTAAATACGATCCTAGAAATTTTATTATATTTTTTGCAAGCTTTCATGACCTCCAATACTATATTGCCTCAGACCGAATCAGATTCAGACGTTTTGTCTCGAAAAATTCATCTTCAGTGTATTCGTTCCACATCTATTTAAATCTTTTGTTTAGATTTCTTTGTTTATTGAAAAGCTATTTAAAAAAGGTGCTACCAGAATTTTATTATTGATTAAAAAGTTGCAAAATGTGTGACAAAAAAAAATGAAACACATGGTTTTTGTTCTATTTGTACTTTAGAGATGCCATATGGAATATGAAGAAAAAAATTAATTTAATTTTTTTTGTGTGGCCACAGAAGAATGTGAATTTTTCAACGCGGAAACACCCTATAGAAATTTTGGCCTAGGACATTTTTAATCATCATTTTCTACTTGGCAAAGTTGATCTACTTTGCTATTACAACATATATCGTTCGCTTTGAAACATTCTGTACAACAGTGCGAAGCATCTAATGCTCCATTGTCTGTAAAATTAAATTACTATGAACTTAAACTTTGAAAAAATTTCATGCCAATCAAGATCTAATACCGTACTTCCTTTCTACTTCTGAAGAAGCTAATGATATGACCATTCCCTCACTAAACTGTACTATTAATGGTAATAGTACACGTCTTTACTTCAACTTTTCTTTTTTTGTTTTCTATTATACTAACTTGTAAGTGTATCAAATTGTAATTAACAGCCTTCCCGTCTTAAAAAGTGAAGGTGGTTATGATTTATGTTCACGAAGATAATACTGTCTTATTACAGCAATCTTGCGTTGATGAAATATTTAGTGTTAAAACAAAAGTTAACAAAGAAAATTTAGAAAAAAGTATCCACTCTTCTCGTAACTTACAAGTTTTCTGCTATGATGATTTATACTGAAATTAATTGTTGTCAAATAAATAATAAACAAATAATGAGGATCATAATGATACTATGTACGTTTGAAAAAATAGAAGTATATTATTTCATATTGGGTACTTGTAATAAAAATAAGGGTTCTTTTTCATTTTCATATTAAGTATGGTTGAGTCTGGAAAAATTGAGTGTTGAAGTTTCTCCAGAATTGGAAAAAAAACGTAAAAATTTGGAAAAAGAAGTTTTTTAGACGGTAATAAAGACCGGAATGACCAACAGCATGTTGCTCTGGATTTATCAATGAATTGACAAAATAATGTTATATTGAACTTCGTCTTTATTTTATTTTTATGAAGAAATTTGGTAAAATAAAAACTTTAATGTTGTTATTTTAGTTTCAAAGAATTGGAAGGAAGGAAGTTTTCCTTCTTTTCGTTGTTTATTCATAAAAAAATAAAATTTTGTTTCTTTTACTCGTTTCGAATGAAATATTATATTTATTAGACTGGGCCAAAAAAATCGACTATTTTTTTTTTGAAGATATCGAGAATATCATTCAGAATGATGAAAAAAAATATATCGTGAGAGTTTGAGCTCTTAATATTATTTTTAAGAGGTCTATCATCGCTAGTTTCGATTTTTTACTCTTGATTCCATTTTTGCGTCAAAACTGCCAAACCATCGAGGTAAAAAAATGTATCTACATATATTTTTGAAGGAAATTGAACAAAAAAGTTCTGATTGAAAATTTTCAACAGACGAGCCGTTTTCATGTAATCAAACCTTGAAAATTGATGTTTTTTCAATTTGACTTTTTAACTTTGGAATTTTATAAATAACAAACAAATTAATATCGGAAAAAGAACAATACAGATTTTCAAAGGAAATTTAAAGCCCTACAAAGGTCTCTTAACATTTTTGCATAAATTTACTCCTTCAAAAGTTATTCACGATTGAAGTTGAAGTAAAAATTAAATTTTTTCGTTATGGACCCAACTTTTTCCACTTAACGGAACAAATTGATATTATCATCGACAATTCTTATTCTATCAATATAATCACCAAAAATATCCAAAATTCATAATATATTCAAATTCATTCTCGCCCAATAGCTATTTTTTCTACAAGAACGTAGTTTTACTGTCTCAAAATAATTTTAAAAATAACAATTATGTAGTTTACTATTGAAAAATGGGATCGGGAATAAAAAATCGAAACTAGCGATGATAGACCTCTTAAAACTAATATTAAGGACTCAAACTCCTACGATATTTTTTTTCGTCATTCTGAATTATATTCTCGATATCTTTAAAAAAAATTGCCGATTTTTTTGGCCCAGTCTAATATTTATCTTTTGTTAATCAGGGTTTGAACATTACTAATTTCAAATTTGGTTACATCCTGAATCTGAATATATAAATTTTGCAAAAATATATTATTTTCATCCCCATCAAAATATATCTATATAAAAAATATCTTTTTAAGTTCATTTCAATTTTTTGATTCGGAAAAAACATTTTTATTCAGTGTCCGTTTCTTTCGAATTGTTAAATCTCTAATTATAAATCATAAGCATAGTTGATAGAAATGATAAAATTGTTAAATTAATTCACGATGAAATTCTCAAGATAATATGTCCATGAGAAACGATTAAAATCAACAAGTGATGCAATCTCAACTCACGCTCTTCGAAAATAGTAACAGTAGAGAGTCATTTGCGGTTAATTGATATAATTATGGAAACCGTTGAGGTAATACAAAGAACGTGCGTACCTACGTAAGATATCAAAACGCAATACCCAAGTTCAAGGTTAAAAAGAGTAAGTAGCTGTCCATGCATAACCATCCTCTCCGATCGCGGGAATTAATCAACTCAACAATATCGCAATTATCGAAGCTTCCTCAGATTTGAGCTGTACAATTAGCTCTAATTGCGGTTCGACGACTACCAAGATTGTTTTAATTAGAATAAGGTATTGTGGCCGGAAACCATTGAAAATGCAAGTAATGGTCGAGTCTGCTCGTTTACATGGAAATGCATTTTTGCGTTAGCTTTTTAGTGCCGCTTTAATTGTTTCATCTTCGTCCGCAGCAAGTTTGTAATCTCCACAAAGAGGATGTATTATGATATCTTGAGAACCGGTCTAGATCTTTTATATCAAAGGGAACATTTTCTCTTGGTCATTGGTTGGGATGGAGAAGAAAATGATTGCATTGTGTTTAAACAGGTGTTCAAATGTTCTTAAGAACTTGTACGTTTTAGTGAAAAAAATGCATATAAAGGATTTCCCAAAATTCACGCAAGAAGTAGTTTTAATAGAAAATATAGGTTTTTAATTAAAAATTATCGGGTAAATGGCCTCCAGGGCTTGCTGGCACATACGCACTCTTTTGTCGATATTTTCCATGACCGTTTTGCATAAATGCAGCTGAATTTTGCTGATACAACCCTCAATTTCCCCCTCCAAGGCATGGGTGGTCGTGGACTTGTTGGCATAAACCTTAGACAAAAAAAAGTCCAACGGTCTTAAATCGCATGATCTGGGCGGCCAATTCTATCATCAAAACGGGAAATTACACGACCAGGAAAAGAGTCATGCAGCGATTGAATTGTTTCTCGGGCTGTATGACTTGTGGCATCGTCTCTTTGAAACTACATGTCTTCTACATCCATATGTTGCAATTTAGGCAACTGGATTATCATGTCGCGATAGACAGCACCATTAACTGTTAAGAATGGTCCGACGATGCCTCCAGCCCAAAATA